TATATATATATATATATATATGGTGAGAAAGAACAGGAAAAGAAAGAGGAGAGATCTTATACATATATAATAATGCATTGATGTTTATGTATTGATGCCTACGGGTGACTTATAGTGCAGCAAACTAGTTGAATAAACTATTATTAGTGTTGTTTGTGCAATACTCATTGGGCACCTTGCATTTATGTTAACCTCACTGGGTACATTATAGGTACATCTTTGGTAAAACTAAATTCCTGGTCAATTGGAAAATCTTGCTGAACTATTTGAAAATAATTATTGCTTCTCACGAGAAAATCGGATACAACGTCTTTGTGTCAGTCTAAACTAAACTTGATTAAATTTCCTGCCTCTTTATACAAAAAAATATATATATAAAATATAAAAATATATATATATATATATATATATATATATATATATATATATATATATATATATATATATATATATATAAAAAATAGTTTATTGTTTTTTTTTTTCTTTAAACTTTTCACTTTAACTGGTTTCGCTTAGCTTGTCAAAAAGTTTTTAACTGTTTCTCTCTCTACGTGTTGATGCTTATGTTTTGTACCAATGAAAAAAAAAACACTGACAATCCAATTGTAAGTAACAAAGTTTTAATTCTTCTCTGTAAAAATTCATATATTATAAATAAATAACACTATATTAAACATTAGGTGCCTTTTTTCCAATCCTCATTTTAGAATAGACAATAAATTTTTGTACAGAATCTTTCTAACAATTTTTGTACCTATTTATATATATATATAATATATATATATATATATATATATATATATATATATATATATATATATATATATATACATATATATATATATATATATATATATATATATATATATATATATATATATATATATATATATATATATATATATATATATATATATATATATATATATATATATACATATATATATATATATATATATATATATATATATATATATATATATATATATATATACATATATATACATATATATATATATATACATATATATATATATATATATATATATATACATATATATATATACATATATATATATATATAAAAAATATAGTCTTAAGGTGTGCTATATTTATGGGATAAAGTGCTCAATATCAGAGATAGAGCGTGTGTAAATATAAAAGTGAACATAAGTCAACACTTAGAGGCAACAGTCTGTTTCATGCTATAAACAGACAAGTGGCCTGATGTTGACTTTATTTCATTTATTATATATATATATATATATATATATATATATATATATATATACATATATATATATATATATATATATATACATATATATATATATATATATACATATATATATATATATACATATATATATATATATATATACATATATATATATATATATATATATATATATATATATATATATATATATATATATATATATATATATATATATATATATATATATATATATATATATATATATATATATATATATATATATATATATATATATATATATATATATATATATATATATATATATATATATATATATATATACATATATACACACACACACACATATATATATATATATATATATATATATATATATATATATATATATATATATATATATAAACAGTAGGTTATTTGTTTGTTGGCTTTTGTTGTATAAAAGCAGTAATATTCGGATATATAAAGTGGATCGAACTGTCTAGGATCGTAACTATCATCCTATGATAGACGAAATTCAAGGCATATATGTATAAATATATTTAGATCATAAAAACAAATTTTTAAATAAAAATTTCGAGACTGAATTGAAATCAAGAATCAATGAACACAAAAGAAAATTCTCTCTCTCTCTCTCTCTCTCTCTCTCTCTATATATATATATATATATATATATATATATTGCGAAGACAGGGTTAGTCGGACAACAAGCAAAATTCCTGTCTTATCTAAAACCCGTTTCTGACGTCATTCATTAAAGAACTAGTCTCCATGCTGATGGCTTAGGAAATGTTCGATTTAAAAATCAAATCGCAAAGTTGAACAATAATCGATATTTAATTCAGTTGTTGATGCATTAGACTGATCGCTGTTTGAATATCGGATAATTTTTACAATCTTCAACTCATTCCGATTAAATAAATATCATATTTCAAATCAAGTGAACGTGGTCCACTTTAACAATATATCTGTTAATATGACAGTTTCCTAACTTAATCCTAATAGTAAATATTGGCTTATGTCTGCGTATATGTGCGGGTTACGTGGCGGTTATCGGCAAGAAGTGAAATGTCTTTTGCACTCACTTTTGCACAAAAGACCTAGGAAGAGGCATGAATCCATCTCTTCGCCCTCTAGCTTCCGGTTTAAATAGCACGGAAGACTGGGCCCTCGTGCCTTTGATCATAACCAGTCATGAAGGGTATTTTTAAATTCAAAATTATTAAGAAAGGAAAGGGGAAACCATGCCACCATATTTCCAAAGAATTTATGGTAATACACAGATAAAGAAATTGTACAATTGTACAAGTCCCAGGGCCACTCAAGGTAGAGGGTTACGTTAAGGGATAGTTTATAAGGATAGGAGTGGAATATAATGGTTAACTCTAGACTTGAACAGGTTAAAATTGTAGTGATTGGGTCCTAGTCGTGATGGTGAGACCTGGCGAAAACAGGGAATACTTCAATTATTAGTGTTGTGGGACTCTCCCCTTTTTACATAAAATGGACTCGTCCAAAGTGTTCTTATACTGACAGAGAGAATACCTGTTGTGGAGATACGGAGACAGGCACAGGGTGTTCAGAGAGAGAGAGAGAGAGAGAGAGAGAGAGAGAGAGAGAGAGAGAAGAAGAGAAACAAACAAAAAAAAACAAAAAAAAATTAATTACGGCTTTACTTACAGAGACTTGTACATATACTTTCTACTAACCCGCATTCCTGGACTACTAATCTTCACTTCAAGTCTATATTCTTACGTTTAATACACTTATTTTTCTATCTCAATTACTGGCGTTGTTTATTTATTTGTGCAGGATTCCATTTACGGAATCCACAACAATTAGTATAATGGTTTCCAATACGAGTATTCACTATAATAACTTTTGAATAAAAAATGTCGTATTCAAAATAAATCTATTAATTCTTTATATAATTTTTTATTATTTCAAACATTTTTATAGTGGATACTCATATTTGACATAGATGCCATATTTTTATTTTGATTTGTTTACGTTTCCGATACGAAACTGAACAGATATGGCCTTTTGGAGAAAAAATACCTGAATGACGAAGTGTGCATGTTTTTTAAAAGGTAAAAAAGAGTCTGGCTGAACTGCGTTATTCTCTGTAGCCAGTCAAGCACGAAGTATGAAACTGTGGTTTCTCCTACAATGGGAAACGCAAATTCTATCCTTGTTGGAGAGCACATTTTTGTTATAGATATTTCTCGGCTGCGCAGGCCGATAGACGTAATAAAATGAAAAATAGACGTTTAAAATGAAAAACAATCGTCTGTTTCAAATACGAGTATCCACTATAACGAAGTAGTAAAAACGTGGGATTAAAACTAAATCTATTAATTTTTTAGATGTATATATATTTAGAGAAATATGACAAACTGGAAAGGTTCTTTTGTGACGCGTTTCATCCGTTAGGATTTCATCGGACTGGGCTTTGATGACGTTGCCACATCTACGCATGCGCACGAAACAAGAGATGCTGGTAGTTTCAAAAGAGAGAATTTTTTTTTTAATTTAGCAGAAATCATCTGTATTCGTTTTCTTTTTCTCTCTATCACCTTTGTCCTTGACTACCCCTCACTGTGACAATATAAAATTTACCAAGAATGTTGATATATTGTAAGATGCTGTATATATATATATATATATATATATATATATATATATATATATATATATATATATATATATATCACTAATGTTTTAATTCAGGGTCGCATGCGTTTAAATTTATCAGAGAACTCGCACAGCATCCCTCTCACTGTTTTCTGTCTACTGTGGAATTAGTGTTTGCTTGCTAGTGAATACGTATGTATAGTAACATTGTAGACTCAGTGAAGTATAGGGCAGCAATCTCACTACGATATAAACAGATTTAATAATGCAACACATTGCTTTACCTTACAGTTAGAGTTACCAACCCCACGTGCAAACGGTTTGGGCCAGACTCGGTGCCAACCAAAGCTAGAGAACCTAGTCTGTTTTGCTGGCGTGCGGGGTGGGTGTGTCGACTCGGATTCATACTTTTCCAAGGGTATTTGTGCGAAACGGCCTCGACTAGAATTTAAATTCAGCACGCCAATAATGCTTTCCAAGCCAATAACCTCTATACTACAAACACATTTTCCAGTGTATGCGACCATATTTAAAATGAGGGCGACTTGAAAAGATTGGATTTCTAGCTAACCCAAATAAAAATCTCTAAAAGAATTCAAACAGCACCTTTTCCCAAATTCGAATTTAATTTTCTGAATCTAATGTTTCGTTTCGTAACCAACTGCTCCCAAATTTGAATATTCTCTACCATTGGTGCCAAGTGGAGATGACGTTTACCGATACTGAATCTTAAAAATGAATTCAAGAATCCGATTTTTTAAAATCATTTCACCCCCAAGCAAGGCGATAATGCCACTAGACGTAGGGTTCAGGAAGAAAGAAGATGGCGATTGACGTTGCATTCAAATTTTTGAAGATTGTAAGGAAGTGAGTTGATTCGGCTTATCAACCCTTTGCAGGTTACTTAAAGCCAGAAAATGTTTTTAGATTGTAAGAATCTTTTTGTAGATAACAGTAGTTTTAGTAATAAGTCTTACTAGTTAACCCATAGGGGAGAAGAGGTAGATTCATCCGTTTCCCAAGAGTATTTGCGCGTAAGTGAATATAACGAACCCAACAGGAATTGGAGCTTGGGTCTCCGATTAACGATTCCGAGCCATTATCCATTGCACCACCTGCACATTTAAGTTTACAGCACTTAGTATCCCCAAGAGGTCACTCATCTAGTTACTGACCAGGAATGATGTTGCTTAACTTCGGTGATCTTACGGGGACAGGTGTTTCGACGATGGGAATACCACAAGTGAGAACTGCCAGAAAAGAGACTGTTAGATTAAAACAGACGGTTGCATTTAGCTAGTTTAACAGTAAAATAGTGAGACTTAGTTACCAATCTAGCAGCATACTTAAATTCATGCAGTCAAAGCACCAAGGAGGAAAGCTCATCGGAGCAGTTGCTATGAAAATATTAAAAGAAAAAAAAAAAAAAAACGACAAAAGCCACGTTACGGTGGTGAGAAAATCGAGATGCCAGATCAGGGTCTATTTCATTGCTGACCTGATCACCCGCTTGATGTATGTGGAAAAATTTCAATTTAAACGTTTTGTGGGTTGATGCAAATGATGATTAAGACGTTTTGATTTATTCATTTTTTGTCAATCATTTCAATTGAACTTTGAAAAACAATTATCGATATTCATCAAAAGAGACTCGCATTTTTTTCTCTCTCGATAAGTGAGGAATAACGCGATGCAAACACACTTTCCTTAAAACTGTCACAGTACATTTATCTCGAATGAAGGTATGGTGGAATTTTTCAGTTGTGAACGAATAGAGACATACAAATATCGTAGGAAATTATTTCTGATTCGATCATATTTTTGAAGAGTCTTGAGGCCACATCACGTCGAAACAACGGCTCCTGTACGATCACCGTCGAGCCTAATCAGTAGATGATTCGTCACTTGCTGTAAGCTTAGATTTGTCGGTGATGTAATGGATAATGGCTCAGATATGGGGAGCCGAGTTCCAATTCCATTTGGGTTCGTTTACGCACAAATAAACTTGGGAAAGGTATGGATCCACCTCTTCTCCCCCAGCTATGGGATAATCAGTAAGACTTGTATCACTAAACCAGAATTATCTCCAAAAATAAGATAAAATTGTGTACAAAATACTTAAATTTCGGCATTCAATAACCCGTAGAGATGTTGATATGCAGTTAAACAAAAACAATAACCAACATTTCTACATTTAAATTTAAATTCATTGTAGTGGAATCATAGAAAAGTTTTTCACATAACGTCTTTCTCTTTCGATAAAGTTTTCTATTAAACTAAGCATAATCTTGTAAAGAGTTCTAATATAGGGACACTCAGTAGGGATCAAAGTTAACGGCCGTCGAAACTGGTTAACTATAGCTCATCTTTTGATAAATATTCGCTACGTGAGATTTTAATATGCAAGTCAATGTTTTCACAATGAAATTGGTATTAACAAATGTTCGTTAAACTTTCAGGCTATATATATACATATATATATATATATATATATATATATATATATATATATTACTATTAGCAAAAATATATTGCGTGACTTTCGGCTTATATCTATACTTATTTTTAAAGTAACTGACAATGACTTATTTTGGGGAGTCAAATTTTATTATTCAAATCACTGTTTTTACAATAAAATTGATATTAACCAAACAATATTGGTAATTTTTCATGGTACGATAAAGATACCATTTGAATATCAGGTTCTAACATATTATTTTATTAGAAATAGTTATAATTTGGCAGACTTTATTATGCAACTCCAGGGTTCTTCATTATGTTGAAATTAAATATATAATGGTATAGTTACAGATATTTATTACTTTTTTTTTACTTTTTGAAAGTAAATATTATCATGTCTTGTAGGAAAGATACAAGATGAAAAGAGAACAAGACAGTGTAAAGTTATTGCGCGATGAGATCACAACGCTGCCAAAAAAAAAAAAAAAAAAACGTTGGCAAGAAACCAGAGAACATTAAAAAATAGAAATGATAAGAGAATGAAACGAAAACTGAATTTAAGAATGTCATAAAAAGAAATTAAATAAGAGTAATAATCAAGAAAAGTGATTTGAGTAGCAATAAAATATTTGAAACTGATGCTGTAATGGAAAACATAAAAAAAGGCGCGAATATTAATAACATTGGCTAAAGATATGAAAAATAAGAATCTATCACCTTTTCGCAAAAGAGAATCTTTTAAATTGGGCGAAGAATTACATGAAACTGCTTTTTCAAAATCAACTTTTAGCGATTTGTCCCCAGTCCAACATTAGGTGACCCTGACGTCTGGTCTTCACTTTGGGTCATTCATCAAATCGACCTGATTTAGAAGATAACAATGAGGAAGTGGAATAATGTTTGTGGATAGTATTTTAGTCACTAAAATTGTAAGTCTGTTTAAAGTTGATTTAGTGGCAAGATAAATGCAGAGAATCATTGTAAATTCTTGAACGAGGCGTTTTCTTTTAGAGGTGCAGATCACTAGATACTTTAAAACAATCCTCCATCCCATTCTGCCTTGCTGAATATTGCCCATCTTGCTAAAATCGGTTTCAAAAACACTAAATTAATGGAATGGCTATCGATCTCTGCAGATATGTTCAAATAGAAGACATTTGATTCATCCTTAAAAGAGATATACAGGTTGAGCCTTTATCCGAAATTCCAAAATCTGACAGTTTTTTAGGTTCTGACATGATTTCCGAAAGTACTGGGAAGGTCTCTAGGCAATGTGCAGCTATTGTAAGTAACCTCATCTGCCATGGGTGGGATTTCCCCGGCCTAGCTACGTAGCCTTTTTTTTTTTTTTTTGTAAGCGATTGTCACAGCAACACCTTCGTTTGTGGATTACTTACCAGGTGTTTCGTGATCAAATGATTAAAACGTCCTGCATTTATACATATATTTGTAAGTAGTGATCATGTTTTTTATACACGTACAGAAAGTACAAATATTATTTTACATGGAATTTTAATTTCACCACTTAAAAATCTGTGTAAGCATCATTACCAGTATCTGTATACACAGAAAATTGATTAAATTTTATATAAAACTACCTTCAAGGTATATGTTTAAGCTGTGTTATGAAAGGTAAAGGGATATCGTGTTTATACTTGGGTTCCATTCCCAAGCTGCCACATTTTATATACAAATCTGAAGACCGAAGCACTTCCGGTCCCAAGAATTTCAGCCTGTATACGTGAATGGAAAACGTTATCCAAGCAAAGATCTTCCGGAAACAATAAAGATTTTGTAATAAATGTTTAAGTAGAAAAGCTTAAAAAATTAATAATTGACTGATGATGAAATTTATAAAATGCCAAGAGCCCATTTAATATGTATAATAATTAAAATGTATATTTTCAGGCGTAATGCGTGTTGTATTAATCAAATGTTTCTTTGGTTTAAATATTTTGTAATTGTTTATATATATGAAATTATGATCCATTTTGCATGTTTATAAAAGAAAACAAGGTACAGCCCAAATTGTTTTAATTAGAATAGGTATCATATGATACGAGAAGAAACAGTGGAGTAATGTATAGCAGATAGATCACGCTGTATGTGATCTACAACACAGATTTACTATTTTTTTTATTTCTTTGTTTAACGGCATATCAATTCCTTATGGGTCATTTAATGATGAAATTTCATTTTCTTGGGAGCTTTGAAATAATAAAAATATGATATATGTTATTTTGCTTTCACAATTGAATACATGGTAGATGATACTCAGGAATTGATACTGTGAACATGCTTATTAGAGGCGGTGATGGGTTTGTTTTATATTGTAGTTTTGTTAAAATTATATTTTGGAATAACTTTTGATTTAAGAAATGAAAGGATATTGTATAGATTATATGGAAATCTATTAAGTAGATTTGAATGCTGTGTATGACGGTCATACACAGCATTCAAATCTACTAAAGCGTACGATCTACATGCTGAATGTGATCTGTAAAAGTGCACTATATTAATATTTACAATTAGAAAGAAGTTGTCTTTATGTATATATATATATATATATATATATATATATATATTATTATTATTATTATTTTTATTATTATTATTATTATTAACAGCGACAGATATTTTTGACGGCTAATTTTAATGATAGACTTTTACTAGTTACGAATAATCTTTCTCAGGCAAGGAGGAAATTCACACACTTTAGTAGAAATGCGTATGTAGATCATATACTTATCTTAAATGTTGATCAGATGTTGAAGAAGAATCATACATGTAGGATCACACGCTGAAACGGCAACCCCATACACCGAGCAACCTCGATTCTCGAACGTCTTCCATGTCGAACCAATCGATTTTCAAACAGAAAATTCGAGATGAAAATGCCTTGGTTATCAAACAAAATTTCGTTTCTCGAACGACATTGCCGAATCAAACCGAGTTAACGGAATCGTTGACAATCAAAGTTGACTGCCGTGTTGTAAACATTCGTGTGTTGTGCTGTGCTTTTCTTTTCCAATTTTATTATAGTGTGCCTTTTTTTCTCTTCATTAGTCCTCAGTCATGGCTCCAAAGAAAGCTAGCAATGATATTGGTAAAGGAAAAAGAAAAATTAAGAGAAAAACAATGATATTGTCTCTTCCTACTCAGTTTCATATGGCAAAATCAACGATCTATTTTTTAAAATAAAGAGACGATCATGTCTTCCTTTTCCAAACAATAAAATCTCTTTCCTCCCCCTTCCACTTACACCATCAATTCTTCTTCATTAAAATTGAATTGTTTGTCTATATTTTATCTGTTTAGTATTGGGTTTATTTGATTTTTTTCTTAGATTTAATGATTTTCATTAGTTTTATGAATTATATAATTTTCATTAGCTTTGTGTATAAACTTGTACACAAAGTACTGTTGTTAAAGTTTAAATAAGCAATCATCTTGGAACCAGGAACGGATTAATCCATTTTACATTGATTCCTATTGGAAAAATAGTTTCGGTTTACGAATATTTCAGATTACTAACGGCCTTCTGGATTTCGTAAACCGAGGTTCCACTGTATATACTTGCTGGGTGGAAAATAAAGTTTATTTAAAATTGTTAACTTTATCAATTATTGGCCTATTTTCTTGAAACATTTTTAATTTGAACAGTATAATTGTAGAATTAATGTACAATGTTAAAATTCTATTTTATGCACATTTTCTTCCAATCTTCCGACTGCTTATTTAGGTATCTACCTCAAATCTTCTAATTATCAGCTTGGAATGAC